GCTCGACAACACAGTGGTCAATTTGTCGCACAAATTTGAGAACGACAAAAATCGAGCACGTGATCGCTTCTTCACGCGGAGCGCTACTCAATGCCAGCCGAGTGATGACCTCTGAGAAATAGTACCGTCTCCATCAAATGGCTACCATCTTAATACTTTGGACAAGATTGAAAAGATGGACCACTTCCAGTGACAAAATATCCTCTGCATCACTGTTTATTTCCTCCTGTATGATACTTTGTTTTAGGCCGACAGACATTCGTAGCCGAACATGGACACGCTACACGGAGCCGAATCCTATCTTTCGTACGAAGATGTGTCGTGAACGCACGACTCACGTCCACTGTCGCTCCGCTGTAGGCTATGCCGCAAAGAGGATATAAAGGGTTCTTTGGCCAGCAAGGGGCTCTTTTCGCATCTGACAGTTGCCCGACCATAATCGCTCCTTCATTAGTGAACGTACCGAGAGTTCACCGAAGGCACTGGGACTGTGCGAGGTGGAATATGACTCCTATCAAACCCAAATCTTCAGAGGATTCCACCGTCATCGATTTCACTACAGTTAGAATGGTGAAGATTGAAGGGATCAATTAAAGACATACGAACGCAAGCCGTAGGACTTTAGCCAATTGTCTCTCCACTCTCAATCCTATCCTTCTCAGCTGTACGACTCTTGAAGCTTTCTCCAGGTTTTCTGCCACAAAGGGTTGGGCTTCGAACGCCGAAAAGAAAGAGTAAAAACGTTGGTCTCAGCTTTGCAGTGCTTGTGGTCTTCCGAGACTTTAGGCGAATCATGCAGTACGCAAAAAGTTGCAACGAAGTGGCCTTAGGAGTGATTGCCAGTAGTGCAATAGTAGAGCGATCTTCAGCACGCTTAATTGTTCCACCGAAAGCCACATGTGCTGCACGCGCGCAATGGTCGGTCAGCTATATTTGACTGTAACCTTAGTTATACGAGTCGACGATGAGAAAAAGAGAGCTCCAAAGCGCTTTCGCCATAAAGGGCGGAGTATGGCACACAGTTAAGAGGACCTTCTTGCCCTGCCAAGCGCGCTACACGCTTGCAGCGTTCGCCTCGCCGCTCAAATTTTGGTGGGCCGCTCTAGGGTAGCTGCAGAGTATGTGGCGAACTGCACTCCTTTGAGCGCGCTGTTTAAAGTACGCCTGAACCAACGTTTCGGTTCAACTGCGTGCCCAAGTACTCAAAAGTGCTCCAGTGCCAACGCGGATTACGGTGGAATGGAACCAATCGATCGTGCCAAGAAATCGCTCTTGTGCAGTCCGTTGGCCATCGTCCCCAGCCCCACTGACACTTTGAGAACTTCTCAGAAAACAGTGTTTTAACAACGAAGAATTGCAGAGGTATGGGCAGGTCCTATTACGCACCCTTAGAAGGCAGGGTGAACATAGGAATATGGGTGAGGACGAGTACCTCTCGGGAAGAATAGATTACAGCACATAGATAATAATATACGTTTAATTAATTTCAATACCTCGCAGGTCCACAGTAATGAAAAAAAGCGCGGGGTTAATTGCTCACGTTATACTGCCACATTGCATACCCAAGGTAGGTGTGCATAGTATCCCCGAAGAAATTGTTCCACGTACAATTTTTTGGAAAATATGCGGATGCAATTTTAAGAAGAAAAAATGATGGTCTATAGACAACGAAATATTTAGCCAAAACCATCAAATATACATGCGAAACACATTAGTCTTTACTGATACTACCAAATCAAAAGTGCAAACATACCCCAAACATAACCCAATCGAATATCATTAGGAATCGAAGAAGTAGTTTACAACCACTTTTCAACATCTGTATCATACTTATGGTAATGTATGGTAATATGATGATAAGATATAAGTATAATATGATAATTTAATGATAATAAACAAATGAATATACAACAAAGAACTATAGGAAATCTAATAAATACAGAACGCACACACATCTATAATACATTATAGATTCGTCATTAGGTCGAAGAAATTAGTCTATCTGGCTCTACAACCCCTTCTACGCTTCTTCAACCCTAATAACCTTACCCTTCCGCTGCACCAATAAGGCCAACACAGTTCTTGAACAACTGTTCGAAGCCCCGGGCATATACAAATGGGTTACACACAACAAGTAATAACTCCGTGAAGCCTACCCAGAATACGTTCGGCAGGGTCCCTTGTCCTTCATAGCAAGTCCCTTTGCACTGATATCCCCCAGCTGGTTACAGGACCTACGTCCTACTGAACTCTGCCCTTTAAACCACGTCAACGTGCTGCTCTTGCATGCGCCCTCATGTCTGAACGGCAATAATTACAGTGACCTCACGCCCCGACTTCTGCCCACGATAAGTGGCTCACTCACCGCTACCCCATGGAATTAGCTACATTCCCCCTGGCCCACGAATCTGCCGCCTGGCATCGTTCGAAGCTGAGACAGCTGCTGTCCTCTACCTGTCTGCGCTCTAACCTTTCACCACAGCGGACATGGAGGAAAGTTCAACTACACCGACGAAATTTAACGACTGCGACACCACATGAACTAAGTGATCTGTTTTGAAACCCTGGAAGTCAGACAAATGAAGAGAGCACGAAATACCTTCAAACGATGGCTTCGAAATAATGATTTAAAGAACCATGGAATAGGGCATCGAGAGAGGAAGGGCCATCTATCAAGTGTGAAAAGTTCGAATGTGACTATCAGAGAGTAGTATTCGCATAAATAAATCACAAGAAAAAAAACTGCTTTTATTTTTGTTTTTTTTTTTTTTTTTTTTTTTGTCATCACTCTAGAACTTTTTATTGCGGGCACTGGCGTAGGCAGCAAGGAAAACAAGCGCTTTTGGTCGGACTTGGCAACTCGATCGGAACTGATTTGAAGCTATCTCGCAAATTTTGAACTTTTTTTTGCTCCTGTCGGTGCCTAGACGAAATACCATTCATTGAAACACGGTCAGGCTAATGCGACCTCAAGCCTACTCACTTTCTACCTTAGTTCACCCACCCCGAAGCACCTCCTCTGAGGCATCGGCCCTCTTCCCCTTTCGTTGGTTGGCGAGCCAAACGCTGAACGCCGCCCTTTCAAACAGCTCAGCAGCTGCGGCTCCACGGAACATGCCACACCTTCCCGCGGTGCGTGTTGAGTGACGTCACATGGGGACGAGCGCGGCAAAAATAGCCACGGTACCACCAGCCATTCCTTCAAAACATCGCACTATCCCATTACCGCTACAAAAATTTTCTGCGCTCCTACATTTCCACCACAAACATTTCGCATCGAGTAGGCGCGGACGCGGCTCGAAAACAGATTGCCTGGAAGAACATGTTCTAGTCATCCTACTTGATCATGCACCTAGCCTCCAGGCATCCAAGTTCAAGGTTTAATTTTTCAATATGTTTTGGGAATCATTCAACCCCTTAAAGGTTCTACCTGCATTAGATCATCACCGAACCCAGCGCTACTGACTGGTGCTATACCAATACTCTGCTTCAGAAAACCAGGAGCGCGTTGAGTGCAGATAACGCACCACAAACTGATGACGACCTGTACAGAATGTATATGTTTTCAGCAATGGAATGATTAGCCTGTTGCAGTTGTATTCGTTTACTTGTCACTAATTACCCGTCGTCACTTGTGGTGTGCGTTCTGCACTCGACGCAGACCTGGTTGCAGGTGGTAGGTTTACAAATTACGGCAATCTTGTTCGAGAGAAGTGATAGCTGTGCTTGCATTGCTCCCCTTTCGCTGGTCAGTGTGACTTCCCCTCAACGCGCCGCGTACGCGCCGCCGATGTTTTTTATCTCCTACTTTCTGCTCCCCTGCATCACCCTTAGTTCACGACTTAGGCTCGGGTAAATCATTGGCTTTCGACCCACACGAGTTTAGACATCTTCCGCGACATCAGGGATTCCCCGCTGACCGGTCACGTGATACGGCTCTGACCCTTTTTGTCATTCATGTTCATGATTAAGTGTGGCCAGAAATAATTACACCATTTCATCCATTACCCGCTACCGTATGCGACGCTTTCTTTTGAAAAGAAACCCACATCACGCTAGGACAACGTTCCTTACACATCAGCAAAAAGAAACAACGGGATAGGCTACGAAAAACCTAATCCCGTGGCAATAATTAACAGTGAATTACGCGATAAGAATAATTGGAGAATAGCGATGGAAAGATGAGCGAACAAAATTGATGACAATCGCGTTACGACCTCCGTAAAGCTGCTAATCCGCAACTTATAAATGCCCTAGACGTCTTCCTTCTGATCGCCAGGAAATGTGGCATTCAGTGCAACTAGTCGCTTAGCCGTACGCGTACAAAATAAGTGAAAATTGTCCACAGAGCATTTAAATGGAGTTGGAGCAAATCAGTGTAAGGACTCAATCATCACCTGGACATGTTTGCTTTTGCTAAACTCTCACTTGTGTTGCTCTGGTGGATACCAAACTGCCACATCAACGACCAAAGAATATATCTAACTTTAAAACTCGTTCAAGGTTTGCATCAATGGCACAGCAGTGAATATTGATTGAGCGGAACAAATCGTACCAAGGCTCCGCATGAGTGACAAACGAAAAATGCGATACATCCCCAATACACGACCAATAAACTAACCGGAAGAAAAAAGAAAGATGTTGCAGTGTAAAGATACTACGAAGCATCAATTTAAAAGCTTTTTTTCTCAACTTACTGTGTCCCGTTCGGGTCCAACTGCTTCAATTTCGTGAGCACTTTGATTTCTAAATAAGCTGCATCACGGTATTTATGGACATTGCGTACAATCTTCACAGCCCTCATCTTGTCCCTCTGAAGAAAATGTCTCAATTATACAATAGTGGTGAACAAAATAAGGTATTTCAGCGGACCTGCTTATCGTAGGCCTTAACTACTCTCCCGAAAGTCCCTTCTCCAAGCTCCTCACGAAGCTCCCCTGAAAAATGACGAAATGAACCTGTGTAAACTAATTTGCACACACCGCATCTTTCTCATAAAACGTTCTTTACGAAAGATGATTTCTGTGAAATGAAGTCACTGCAGAAAAATTGGATAAAGAGAAATAACCAACATCGTCCGTGAAGTATGTCGTTCTTCTTAAAAATTAGATGGCCATCGTCATCGTCAGGCAACACTCCGGTGACTTGCCGGTCGAGATGAGCCTTCATGCGTGCCCGCTGAAGCGCCAGTGATTTAGAAAAAAAAATCATACTTCACTAAGTCAAATTTGTGCTAACAGAGAACCTGATCATTTAATTTCTGCAGCCTTGACTTCTGCCCTGAAGCAATAATCTTATCAACTTTGGCTGAAACGGTGGGCGGAAGCTGAAGTTGAGCCAATAAATTCGCAGTAGTCGACGTTACACTCTTTACAGGCACTTGCTGAATAGCGGCGTCCTTCTCGACTTCTTTCTTCTCTTCCATGTTGGCGTTTTCTGGTACATCAACCGAAACGGACTGAGTGGAGAACGCTGCGGCTATCGCGTTCACCGTTTTCTTGGCCTTTTGTTCATCTGCTTGACTCGACTTCTCTCCGATATCCATCTGACACTTGGATGGGATCGGCACAGCAGCGGTTTCCTTGGCTTGTTCCATCCTTTTTCGAAGTGTTACTTTCTTTTCAATGACACGTTGAGTGTTGTCTTCAGTGTTGACGTTATTTGCTGACGCAGCAGTGAGTGATGAGCCGATTGCACAAATTGTTGTACCACTTCTTGAACCGTATGCCTTCCTCAGTACTTTCGGCGCCGATGGTGTTGCTGCTGCAAATTTCCACTGCTCCGAAGGTGCGGGCTCGACAAAGAAAAAATTAGACGGATCTTTTGTTTTCTTGTTCGTAGTCACCACAGGTTTATCACCAAATGATTCTGGAGAAGCTTTTGGAAAACTTGCAGGTGAAGGAGCTCCTGATTTCTCCAGAGCTGGAAGAACTGGACTCTTCACTGCAGTAGCCTCCACAGATGACCCAACTTTGTTGTCCTTTTTTTCTGAGTGGTTATTATTATGTCCTTCCACACGATTCTCTGTATCCAGTGCTTGCTTCTTTGAACTATTGGCGATCGAACACATCAACGCAGTTTTAGGCGGTGATCCCTTCCTGAATGGACGTCTACCTGGTATGTTGATTGCTTTTCCGGGCGGATGAGGAATACGTAGAGAAACTTGACTCAGTTCGTTCTTTTTCATTTGCGTGATTTTCTCAGAAACGTGTTTGAATAACGGTGATCTTCTTGCATCCACTGTCGGGGCAACCACGACAGTGGTAACAACAGGTGTTCGAGGGGAATCTTCCTCATCGATTAGCCGCGGGATATCAGCTGAAGGAGAAGTGAGCTCCCCAATGGGTGAAAACTCTCGCCACAGACCTTTCCAATGATTGAAACTGCGGTACATGTGCGGATCAGAGACGCACTTGCGCAGGCTAGCCAAAAGGTGTGTATTCCGACGACGGGACACATAGTTTTTGTATTTCCGTTTTCGAGGAATCACCACTATAGGCATGCGTCGTAAGGCGAGTGGTGCTTCATTTGATGTCTTCCTCGGCATTTTGTTGAAACGATGCGACAAGAGGCAAGATGTCGCTATGAAAATGGCGGAGAGGCGGCAAGCAGGAGCACTGCACCACTGAGTTCCACAAGCGAGTTCAGTGCGATGAAGCGACTCGTTTCGACAGTTTGGGAGATCGTACAACTATTAGAAGAAGAACAGCCGTCGGTGTACGTCGAGTACAAAATTCAGTAATACCGATGAAGACGAAATGATGAAAAACTGTCGTCACAGATTAGTTGAACACCTGAGGATACTTTGTACAGAATGAATATTGCAATAAAACATATGTTGACCCAGGCTTTGAGAAGCGGAGGAACAATGTTGACGAGAGTGTTAGGGAAGTGATCTTCCAACGAGGTTTGTCGGCGAGCCGAAAGCTATAGTCCTCGCAAGAAACAGCCGCGTGCATCCGCCCACCGAGCCAAACTTTACAACCTCCGCCACGCTTCACAATTTTTTCGAAATCACGGATCCTGAACGCGAGCAGAATCAGAAAATATATAGAATACCTGTGCTCCGACTCACATACGAGTGCAGCGCTTCCCTGCGTAACTTTACTTCGTAGTAACTTTCGCAAAGAAAGCTTGAATCATAGATTAGACGACTGCAAGCTGCTGTGTTCAACAAACCTTCTCTGCACGTTCGGCGCGTCCCTGGTCATCCCTCCTCGATCTCAATCTACTCGATCCTTGAACACACGGGCGAACACTCTTCTTTCTCACCTTGCGCCGATACGACCCAGGCGCATATGAACCAGTGTACCGCATTATAGCCAGCCTAAACATCAGATGGGAAAATCACCACGAAATCCGTCGAACAAAACACAGAAAAAACGACTTGTTCACAGAGTTTAAAGTGACTACCCAACATAAGCAATATTCTAGCGTCTTGTAATCTGACATATGATAAAACGACATTATAAGAAGACCGCGAAAATGCATTTTACAGCTACGATGGCGTTAGCTTTTCCATCTAGCTGTGATTAGTTTTCAAGTTAAAAGTTATCCCATAAAGAATCCAAAAAGGCGCGGTCATTCGGCGAAATACTCTCCAAAAGACCCCGCGGCAAAGTAAGATTGCATAATGTTTCAACACTCTAATGAAATAATGAAATAACCCACTATTCTAAAAATTTAAGCCTAGATGAGTATGGGAGAAAATGTGACGGCTAGTAACTCACATCTACAGCACATCACTCTCCAATGAATGTATCATAAGGGTGACAACAAATCGAATATGACCACCCTCCCCCAATCCCTAGATTCTCCAACAGTAATTAAGGCACACTACTAGGTATACATTGAAAGCACCTCAATTTATCGTTGAGTTTCACATAATATGATAAAGAAAAGACGAACAGGAAGCACGTTTCGTGGAAATAAAGGTGACCTCTGTGAATGTTAGGCGATTACGGATAAGGGTTCGAGAAACCCCAAAAATTCTTTTACAACCACGTCAGAAAGAAAAGGGGTATAGGAACACGCGTAAAAACAGTGGAATGACAGAGGAAAGTCTAGGTGGAGTAGTTCGTGCGAACTATGAAGATTTCATCTTTCAAAGAAAAAAAAGGAACAAAGAGGTGAGTGAAATGAAGTATAGTTCGAAAAGGAAACTGTGTTTACTGCTTCAATATTTATAATTGAAGATTGTTTGTCGTAATTTTCAATGCGACGTTCTGCACAAAAATACACTCACCCCCCACTCACTCACTCAAACAGGCCTGGAAAGTGACAAATATTGAATGTGCAAACAATTTTAGTGATTAAGCAGTATATAGGACAAAATAACATGAAGAGAAAAAAAGCAAAAGAAATAGAGACGATCAAAATAATGACACAAAAAGAAGAGAGGAAATAAAAGAAAAATCGAGGAAAAGGGAAGCAAAAATTAAGAAAAAATGTGTGTGTAGTTGCAGCAAGGGAATGAAAGTCTTTTTTCGAGACAAACAGTTCAAAAGTAGATCAAATAGAATCACTGGATTTAGCAAAATTAAGTATAATTTTGTCAAGGGCACAAGTGAGTCTCTGT